GAAATTTGTTCCACAAGGTCCTGCTTTTCTCTCATCTCATCTATAATGTTAACGGCTATACGGGCTTGCTGCTTCAGAGCTTGATATAAGACAGCCATTTGCGAGACATCAGCACCTATTTTTCGGCTCAGATTTGATATTTTAAGTTTTTGTTCCGAATTAAGTTTGCCCTCTGTGGCAATAGTGCAAACTTCATGTAACAGGTCTTCAATGTTTGACATCCAATTTTGAATATCGGGCGTCGACACAGCTTCTATCGAGAAGTCAGAATTACGGCTGCTCTTTAATGGTGAAGTACAGGAAGCCAGCTTACTCGGGTTTAAATCCATCTTTGAAACAACTAAGTTTGTATTTCCATTATTTATAACGAGGTACCACAATAAGCAGAATAATAATGTAGGTCACTATTATTGCTTTGATTCAATATTTCTAGTATGCACGTCTGTTCACATCGAACGTCAAGAATCGAGTGAGTTATACTAGGTTCTTGTAAAGATATTAAATGTACCTAACCTAAAAAACCTAAAAAAAATTAAAAAAACCTAACCTAAACAAGTTCAATGTAATACTTATGTCAGAGAATAAGAAGAGGTACTATATAAAATAAGCATTTTTTGCTAAAAGATAGTATGGTAAAAATGTACCTACATATTATACGTACATATGTATATGCGGGTGTTACAATGTAGGTACAGTGGCATTAAGTGCCGTAATGTACACCTCTGCCTACCCCTTCGGCGATAAAAGGCGTGATGTTATATATATATTTGTATGAATGTATGTATAATAGCGTGATGTTAACATCATGCCGTGTTTCCCTGAAGAGGTAGCCAGAGGTGCACATTACGGCACTTAATGTCACTATAGAGGTACAATATACCTAACACCCACTTTTCACTATTTATGTTAATGAGTCCCATGTAATAGGGGGTGAGCCTATTGCCATACACCTGGCACAATTCCAGACTCCGTGCTATTACGGAGAATTGTTTTAGAAAAATCCAGTAATACTTTGCCCAACCTGGAAATCGAACCCGAGAGCCCTTGCTCAGCAGTCGCACTCGCGACCACTCGGCCAACGGGCAACATTCATTTATTTATCAGTTATTTTAAGAGTTCCACGTAATTGGGTGCAGTCTTCATACCTGCAGTTCGTGTTATTACTAAGAATATCAAAAACCAAATAATCAATCTATAGGAAAAGTGTTATATGTATGGCACCATTTGTCTATAATAAGTTACCGAATATTATCAACGAACAATCACTAACAACATTTAAAAGTTTCTTACAGAATTACTTTTGCACAAGAATTCTTGGATGATAAGTTTTAATAAATTCTTTTAATGTTTTGCATGCCAATTGGGGTAACACCTAACAATTTGTACCTACATTCATTGCAAGTAAATAATATAATATTCTATTCTATTGTAGGTACCTACATAGGTATGTATGTACCTACATAGGTATGTATGTACCTACATACTTCTAACTTGGTATTCGAGCAATCGAACCAACAAGTCCTAAAACCTTTCACTAACTAACGAAACAGAAAACAAATATGAATACACAACCATCGCGCATTTCATTCCCCGAAGTTGCATCTTTACCTAAAGGTGCAACTTGGAAACCCACTGTCTCGTATTGGTCCTTCTGAGAACATTTCGCGTTGGTAATATTACAACATGTTCTTAAATATTTCGTATCTATGTTATGTTATGACAACACATTCATTGTGCAACTCATGTATTTCAGCAGTAAGCAGAAGTGTCACACACTCTGAAGATAAGATCTAGGATATAATACTGCTTATCTTACATCTGTCCATTGGTATAATGATTAAACTTGTCAATGATGTAGGATAGGAGTGGTTTTGTATTAATATTATTTGTAAAATGGATAGGTTACTGATAAACAGAAATGTTATTTGTATATGTTATTATTGGAAATCTGAAAGGTTATCCAGTGTAAATATTATTTAGTAACATTAGGTTTTGTACGAGCTGTACTCGTACACTGAGATGTGTTTGTTGTGTGTAGTAGGCATGTTGTCAAGGAAGACGGGATGTTCACAGAAATAAAATTACCTACTGTTTTGTATCCGTTCTCGAAGAGAGTATTTATTGTACTACGTTAATTAATAAATGTAGCTATAATTATCATAATTTTGATAGTAGGTCGCGACATGAAGGCATCGTATCGCACATTCGGCAAAATGCTAATGCTAGTATAGCATTATAAATTAAAAAGTGAAATCCATTGAAATCATGTGGCGATGCTCGTACTGGTTTATTGCACGTCATTTTTCATGGGAATCTACTGAATCGCTTTACTATTGACAGACAGTCAGACAGATATTAATTTTATAAGAGGTCCACCTAAAATGGCCGGTATAACAATTTCGTATCTCCCCTTGTGTTGTGGTGATCCATCTGCTCGTTCCTCAAAAAGTCAAAGGTGATCTTTTATGTTTGATTGAAATAGGTACAAATGTTTATTTAAATATTGACGGTATAAATGAGGCCTAACTTAAATGAGGCCAAACATAAAGCAAGGGGTCCGGGTTTCTGTTGCGATACGTTGAATTCCATTGCATCAATTACCGAAATTGTCCCGATTATGTATTGTTCGAGTCTGAAATGTTAGCTGCTGTTAAGTATACGTAATGTTGTTGTTTCAGAACCACCTGAAGATATGTGGCAGTATACTGGAGCAGTGCCCGCTGCGCTGTGGAGCCTGGATACAGAGGAAACACAAGGACACACACGTCAAGGACTGCCCCAAGATGGAAAAGGTAGAATTAGGAAATCATTGTATCTCCCAAAGTGTCCAACGAATAGATTTTGAACATTATTGCTTGACATGAAAGTAAAAAATAATTATTCTGGTTCCAGACCCGTAATTCATCGAGTCACGTGAGCGTGCCAGCGCCGGCGCCTCCACCACCAGTACCAGTCTCCAACCACACCTGGTCACCACGACAGGTGCCCCTCGATGACTGCGTGTCCTACTTGGAGAAGGAAGTCGCTTCCATCAAGTAAGAAGTTACTTATAATCTCCTTGGAATATCATAATCTCATTATTATAAATTCACACCTTCTAGCAGGTTGCCGGAGCTCTAGATCTAAGCCGAAGTAGGAACGGGGTGGTTTTTAGTCAGTAAGAAAGAATCTGACTATGTAACCTAGCTAGGAAGTCAATATTTTTATATTGCTTCTATTATTGTCTCGTTTTCGTATAGGTAATTGTGTAAATGACTATATGATTTGTCGCAACAAATTATTTTATTATTATCTTTGCACCAGTCCTTCCTAAAACAAATTAAAACAACGTTCTTTCAGATTAGTCCTAACAGAAGAATCAGGTCACCGCGACGTGCAAGCGACGGAGATAGAGAACATTCGTTCGAAGCTGGTTCTGGTGGAGGAACGCAGTCAGCACTTCCTCTCAACCCTCGTGTCTCTAAGAGCAGCGGTAGATGATGAGGCCGAGAGGTCTGCCAACTGGGCTGCACAGTTCAAGCACGACTTGGCCAATGTGCAGCTGGCACTGCAGGTATTTTACTAAAGCCTTTTCATTTTGAAGAGTTTTGTGGGTATACAATACCTAGATACAGCCAGCCAGATTGTGTTGTATGTTCCCATAAACATAAACTTCACTTACGTATTATACCTGGCCTTGTGTCTCCTATTCAGAATATTAAAAATCGAAAAGAACCAGACAGCAATTCAGACATGTTTTTTGCCTGGAAAAATAAAAGAAACTGTATTTCAACGAATTGTCAACCTTCTTTTTGCCATAAATAATAATCGCGTACCTACACGCAGTTAACGATGCCTGTTTACTGATAGAATAGATTCTCAGAATTTTAATTTAGATGGAATCATCATCTGTCTAACCACACGTTGCCTAAACTGTGAAATTAATGGGTAGGTACTCTAACAGTTAAATAATAAGATTTGGCCAATGAGGTAACTACCTAAGTGCTCTACAAAACTTTCCAGAGAAAGAAAGCTTCGGCCGAAAATTGATCGAAGATCGGTAATTAACAACGTAATTCATCTTCTCTCCCAGGAACTACAAAGCCAGCAGCTGACTACAGTGATGAGACTGGAGAGTGCAGTGAGCAGCCTGGTGCATGAGCAGCACGAGCGGGAACTGCTGGAACAGGCGCTAACACAACATGACAATAGGATTAGAGCAGTCAACAAACTCGGTATATTTCTACGGAATTATTTGGTGGACTGTAAATAAAAGTAAACTAAGTGAATCCGTGGATGAATACAAAAAGAACTCATCAAAGATTTTATTTCTTTTCTAGAGGAAGTAATAAACTATATAAGGCAGACGGTAGAAGAGGAACGAGAGAGGAATGCGGAGAACCGCGCGGCATTGGAGGCAGAGCTGATGGAGGCCAGGAGGTCCTCGGAGCAGCTCGCTAACCTGTCGGCTCTGAGGATGCAGCTGCAGGCCACGTCTGATGAGAGGCCGGTAAGTTCTGCAGGTTTTTTGAACAATAGGTACTAGGGTTACCTTCCGTAAGAAGTAACTACCAAACTGCCACTTTTAGGACTCAACCTGGTATCATATTTTGAGTTTGTTAACTATGCACGGAGCTCTTTAGTAAAAATGTTGATCAACTTTGAAATAGCAAATAGAATATTGAAATAGAAACCCTTTTGTTCAACATTCACACAAACGGCGACGGCTTCATGCCATGTTAGAAACAAACAACTGGCGTTACCACTTACAATCTATTTACACATCTGAACTGAAATTCCTTATCTTCATCACACAGGGCATAGACCGCGTGGCAGTACTAGAAGTGGCGACAGCAGACGCCAGAGCCGAGTTGTCAGAACACTCCACGAAAGTAGACGCAGTACTGAGAGACCTGCGTGCTCTCACCAAGTCTTACCACAAAATGAGGAACGAGCTCGCTGACTTCCAGTCCAAGGTCACCTTCGATAGAAATGAGCTGGGATCTGAGGACGGTAAGTTGACCTAGTATTGTGAGATTTTTAATGAGTTAGGGCGACAAACGGGCATACTGACCACATGGTGGTAAGCAATATTACCACCATTATAAAACAAAATTCCGCTGCTGCGTCTGTGCCTGTACGATGAGTCTGTTGTGAAGTAGAAAACTGCTGAATGGAATTTACTTAATGCAGTTTTTATCAGTGGATTAATGATTTATTGAGGAAAGTTTAAGGGTATAATTTACGAAAATTTAAGTACCAAAAGAGGAAAGTTAATGCGAAGATAAAGTTGGGGTAACTTCGTTTATTTATGCTATTCTCAATCAGCATCAGAAAAGGTAGTTACATTACATGCATGATGTTATTAAAAAATGTATAAATTGGAAATGATGTATCTAAATTTAGACTCAAGTATTAAAATAAACTTACTTATTTACCTTGTTATTATTAATTCCTTTAAGCAGGATGTTACCAAAATAAATTCTGATGGGTTTTGCACAAAAATACCTCTAAGTAGTGACGTTAATAAATACGTGCAGGTAGTTTATTGCCCTTCCATGTATAATGAGCACCGTGAATGACAAAGTCTCCTTGAACCCTTTGTTTTCAAGTTTATTAACTCGATACTTTTGATTTGGTCGTAATAAAAAATTGCTTTTAGATTATAGACGGTCATGATTCTGGCGTTTAAAATTTTTATGCCCTAGGTACTTGGCGTACCTACACTCCTTAATTACATTTAAATTAATTTGACTGCACGATTGGCATAGTGGCTGACCGCTGTGCAACGCGTCGACTCCCGCACAGAACAATTCTTTGAGTGATTCATAAATTGTTGTCCGTTCTGGGTGACGTGTATGTGAAATTGTCTGTTTTTAAACGCACCCACGATACACGAGCAAATCCTATCAAGACCAAGGGCGTTGAGAATGAGTTTTAAAGACATTAGGATGTTCCAGGTCGTTTTATATGGAGAATAGACAAGTTCCTGTCTCGAATGAAGGAGGCCAAGGAGAATGACACCGTGTTGAGCAGCCCTCTCTTCAGGACCAGCAAGTATGGGTACACGCTGAAGGTAAGGATTATTATTACTGTTCTGGCACACTATTCACTACCTCTACTCCTCTCATGGGTGTCCCAAGTGCCCAAATAAGACATTGTACAAGGGATTGGTGAGAGACACCGGGCAGCAGTTTAAAATTAGATATTCAATAGCGAAAAGCTAAAGGAAGTTCCTACCTAACACTTGTGCCTACGCCCAAAAGTTAAAGAAAAAAAAATATTAGTGACTTTCTTATTTGAAGAACCGATATATGAGGAATACTATAAGTGTATTTTTTATGGGATAAGCCAGTAAACGAGCACCGATGGTAAGCTATTAGCGCCGCCCACTGACACTCGAAACACCGGATGTGTTACAAGGCCTTTTGGGGATTAGGAATTTGAGGATTATTGGAGATTCGTGGATTGGGGAGAATGGGGAGGGTGTTATTGGGTTAAACACATCGCTAGTGTTGTTTCACGTTTGTTTTCTGCTCGGCCGTAGTATATCTCCGGCCGAGCTGATCCATTTGTGCCTGCAAGAGCAAAAGCATGGCTCTCCCACACTTATGTATGAGAGCAATGTTTGTGTTTCTGTCTGTGTATTCGTAGCTCTCTCCAGATGAGTTCGTTTTTTTCAACCACTTCACTTTAAGTTTTCGCGTTCGAACCAATATACTTCCTAATTATTGTTCATGAACGAACGAACAAGATTATTGGAATCTTAATTTTTCAGGCAGAAATCAACCTGAACGGTATCGGTAAATGGAAGGGCCGTCACATTACATCAACAGTCCGGCTGGTAGCTGGACCGTACGATGCTCTGCTGGAGTGGCCCTGCGACCTCAACATCAACATCATACTCCGAGACCAGCCCAACAACAGGAGCCAGGTAAGATGTCAACTTTAAGTGGTGGTTGTAATAATCCCCAAGCAGTGTACCAGGGCTAGTGATTATGAAAAATGTATGTTTACGTATGTAAATGTATGTAAAAATGTTGTTATGGCTTTTGTATAGTAGTGGATGTCATTCAGTTGATGATGATCACGATGACGTATTGAAAAATAAATACTTACCTAGGTGTTTGAATAGCACTTACCTAAAATAATATTATGGTTTTTCATAAACTGATTACTAATTAGCAACCACACACAAACACATAATTTTCATGTTCTCAAGTAGTTACATAAAAAGTCACTTGACTTAGGGATTTATTACATATCGCAACACTCATTACTAATACGACACATTCGAGCTAATCTGATCTTAAGTCATCTTAGACCATGCACGTAGTTGCTAGCCTAGCTTCACTGACGGACAGGCTGACACACTAATATTTATTTATTTTATATTTGTTGACGTTTCAAAAGTACGAAATGATGGTTTAATTGAAATACATGCTTTTGAGTTTGAGTTTATAAACAACAATCAATACATTTACAATCAGGTACCTACCCGATTAACTAACGACCTACGAGCGTAAGACATGCATATATTTATTTAAAATTCTCTTAAATTATATTTTTAAATACTTCTTAAAAGAAAACTGAAAAATGATATTTAAAAATAGGAGCCGACCAGTAGCGGGAGTCTGCGGGGGCATGGTCCAAGCTACCAGTGGTTAGGGCTCCAAAAACAGAAACTTCTTCGCGACACACACATACATGCATATATGTTCAATTTATTTAATATCGCCTAACGAACAGTAAATAAACATAATGATTGTAGATAAATCCATTCCAATTCCACTGTTTTAAAATATGTTTCTCAGTGTTCCTATCAACTCTGCAAACATAACAATTACTTTTTTCAGGCAATGGACATAGTGAAGTCACTGCAACTGAAGCGCAAGTCATCGTCTAAACGTCATGACTACGATGACGGTGGTGATGATGACAAGACCAAGTCATCAGATACCCTGGACAAGACAGTCACCCAACTGAAGAGACAGTACATCTTTATACCGCACACCAGTCTAGACAAGTTCGAATATGTTAAGAATGACGTCATGTTCATTGAGTTTATAGTTAATCAATAATTTTAGGGTAGTTTCTGTTTTATATTTTATTTCGGAAGGGTTATGGTCGATTTTTGTAGATTATGATTTATGTAACAGAATTTTATGTAATTTATTTTGTAAATTTCGTAATAAGGATTGTAAATGTCCTATATTTAAGACATTTTGTCAATAAGCCATGTGTATTTATACGTAGGATACTAATTCAGTTGCTTAGATTTAACCCACCCGAGCTTATATCTTCACGACAGACAAATGTTCAATTAATATTGTACCGCAATGCATCAACTCACCTCTCATTATTCTCTCAAGTTACTTGAGATCAGTAGAACAATATGTTTTCTTCCATTCTCCTCTATCAGACGTCATCACATGACAAACTTGTTTCTACTTTATACCATTGCTTAAAAAATCTATCCATCTTGACTTTGTTTGTCGACGACGTCTTAATCAACCCGTATACATAAAAAGCACTAACTTTATTACATGACTTTCATCACTTTTAATTCTCATCATATGTATATATATACCCAAAAAGATTACCTTACACGCAAATACTAAAAGGCTACTCAATTTTAACTTGTACTTAAATATCGTGCCATATCTGTCATCCTACAAAGAAATTGCAGTGACAGAACTATACTTAAGCTCGACTAAACATAAGTAACATTTCAGTACTCGGGCATTATTGTGTAAACCATTAATTATTAGGTTATATTTCATGTTCACCACGAATGAAATTAATAAGACTATATACAATTAACTTGTAGACTCTCTAATTTGTACTAGAAAAAAATAAAACATTTCCTTCCTGTATACATATTTTATTTATTCAATAATTACATCAACTAAGTATTTTACTTATACATAGGATTACGACAAAATTAATAAAAATATTTGTTTAATTTTTTTGTTGAAATTATAACAATTTCAGGACGTAATAATAACAATTTATACTAGTGATAATTTTAAAACTAATCTTAAATTATATTGGGGTGTAATGGCACTACAGATCATAAGAAAATGTACTACTTAGCTATAAAGCTAAGTAGTTATAAAACTACTTTAATAGTAGAAGAAACTTTTTGAATATGATGCAGTAAACCATCAAACGGATCACCTGATGGTAAGCAATCGACGCTGCCCATGGCTGAGTTATTAGTTAGTTGCCTTTTAGGAATTGAAAAATTTTAGATTTTGGTAAACTTTTAGTGTTAGTTTTTAGGAAACTCACCCTTAATTGACACTTGGAACAACCTAGGTGTAATGTTATATATATCCATATCTCCATCTATCCTGTACAATTGTATAGGGTAGGCGATTAAGTAATTGAAAACAATCATTTAAGCTTCTATCCAAATTCATTGTATTTTAAACTTTAGCTTTAGTCAAACTAATAATATCTTTGTAGCTAAATACATAAGAGCCAGAATGTTTAATTCAATCCGCCTTGAGCAAGCGTGGTGATTACTGCTCATTCCTTCTCCATGTGAGGAGAGGCCTTTGCTCAGCAGTGGACACTTAGAAGCTGATGATGATAATGTATGAATTCATAAAAATTGAGAAAAGAGAGAAACAGGGCTGTGAAAAGAGTTTCAGAATAAGTTGTCACATATTTAGTACAGCTGCTTCGCAATTACATTTATTATCATTATATATTCAAGCTATTTTATTACTTTTCATGTTTAAATTCATAAAATACGAAAAAAAAGAGAAAAAGAGCTGTGAAAGGGGTTTCAGAAGTAGTTGTCATATATTTAGGACAGTTGCTTCCCAAAGACATAATACATTATTGTTATTTTATACTCGAGCAGTTACTTTGTACTTATAAACAAAATTTTAAAAGTTGTCCACTATTAAAGTAATTATTAATTAATGAGGCACAAACTACCGATTATGTTTCAAGTTTAACTCGTCGAGTACCGGTTTTGTAGACACAATTATAGAACAATAGGTTGCGGTCACCGGTGACCGCTTGGACAGTTTAATTATTATTATTATCAATATTTCAAACAGTGCTACTGATACACAGACAAACAGATTAGTAAATATGATATACAATTAATTTTATACGGTATTGTTAGTAGACACACGGATAATATAAGTAGTAAAATGTATTAACATTGAATGGGGCTTCAATTCTTAGATTATTAATTTAGTTGAATGTTAGTGTTTGGGCTCTGTAACTACGGTGCACAAATATCAGAGTTTATTATGGTTCAGAATATATTTGCATATTTTACTTAGTAGGATATACCCAAGTTTTATAAAACCGTTTTATATAGTATAATTTTAGGTCTAAGTTCTAATACAATTTTTAATTCTATCACATATAGATATCGTTTAATTATCAGCGAAAAAATACAAAGTACATTTTACTCCTTCTCCCCACGGGTGTAGGATTAAAAACCACGCGGACGGAGTCGCGGGATTAACGATGAATGCTCACTTTATAAATGTAGTGGCTAGCGTATCAACCTACACCCATCAGTCAAATTTATTTATTGGATTGTCGACTATATATCAAAACACAATAAAGTTGAAGATGTAATGGAGATTGATGGAAAAGGTTAGGTTGACCTGCTAGCCACCGTACTTTAGACTTTAATAAGTCGGAATATTTAGTCGTAATAATAATTCCTACATATATATAGGCACATATATACTAAACTATAAGACACTACCACGAGTAAAAAGCTCGACGTACGATATTTCATACATATACATTATGTAGTCATAATTATTATTATTGAAACCAAATAATATCTAATCATAATATAATAATATCGACACCAAACATCAATATTAAAATTATAATGCTGCAGTTGGGCTGAGCGAGTTAATCTCTGAAACTATTGGATCGAATTGAATAATTCTTTATGTGTCGGACAGTCCATTTATCAAGGAAGGGTATAGGTTATAAAACACTACACTTCGATGAATAGGAGTCGAGCAGAGATGATGAAACTGCGCGAGATTAGTTATTCAGATGGTTCACTCGAATGAATATTAACACCAGTGAATGTTAATTTATCTTTCTTTTCAAGTTCTGAATACTTTGAATGATAAAGAAATGAACATTAATTCATAATGTCGTGCGTCTCGAAATCACTTTAGTTTGTGATAATTTAATCAAATCCGTTCACTCTGTGTGCAGACAGTTCATTTTTTGTTCATTCGGAGTGGGGGAGTGAATGATGCGGAATGCCAAAATTTAACAATGATGAATAGGTTCACTACTGAATTCATTTTAGCACTCTTATTTCATTATGAGTTGAGACGTATCATTTTGAGTGAAAGATGCCGAGTGAAAGCTAGTGCTAAATTGTTAGTTTATCATAATTAAATAATAATATGAATATTGAAACAACAGTTAAGTCGGGAACAGTGTTCACATTATTTAGTGAACTCTTGCTGCCATTAGATATGTTTCAATATAATGTAAAAGTGAATGCTACACAGTACAATGTGTTTCATATTATTGTAATACTTATTTCTAGATACATAGATATTATTATAAATGCTGAATAATTATACCAACGAGACTTGTTCAGTTAAATCACAATTATATTGTATCGTATTATAAATGACATATAGTGTATATTTCATCGTAATATGTGTATGAAAATGTCTAGGGTTTTAAAGGTTAGTCCATAGACTTCTTTTTCAATCATTTGATAATGTTCACAATTTATAAACTTAGAGTTTACTTAAAATTTTAATCAAAACAATTAAATAAAAATTGATTTTTCATTATAACACTAATAGTAACATACTAACATTAATTTCGAGCTCGAAGATAGTTGGGTAGCTAAATAAGAGCCCCGGTATGGCTCGAAATTAGTCTGGTATTCTTTGAGTTAGAACTAACTATTAAACGTATTTTTTTACGAAGTTTTTACGAGATCTTATTTTGTCAAAGAGTTAATTAATATGTGTTACCATGATAAGTGAGTGTCAGTCTACAAGAGGGACTTGTACTGTGCGAGGAACTCCTCCTCCTCAGTGAGGGAGGTGTCCAGATAGTCATCTTCTTCAGTCTTTATAGATGCCGTCAGCCGGCGCAGAGCTTGATCCCGCTCTTTCCTCCTGAAATATTTTTTTTTATTATTCACTATAGGTCGGCGGCATTAGACCTCTACCTCGCCTGGTGGTAAGCGATTATGCTGCCTATGATGAAGCTCGTCTGCCAATAATGATTGAACACTACGATGCTTATTTTTTTATACTCGATAGGATGACGTTTGGCCAACATCTCGCCTGGTGGTAAATGATGATGTGGCTGACGATGGAGCACGCCTACCTATGAGCAATTTGTTCACTCGGGACTTGGAGACACCCAAGTATATGTCGGGAAATACAGATTCCGGCAAAGGATTCTATTCCTTAGCGGTTCGCACAAGGAAACTCCATGTGTGACGACAGAGTGGACTTTTGGCACCTCCCTTATCTCATCTACGACATTCATGGATACCCTCTTGTCTTTGGTTGGAGAATTGAGGTTCTGGAAACCTCACTCACACGGCGAAACACAACGCAACCGTTGTTTCACGCCCGTTCTATGAGGCCGTGGTATCACTCCGATCAAGCAAGCACAATTATGCTAAAGCATGGCTGTACCATGTAAAATATCTTTTACAAAACAAAATTATATTTACCTTTTATCTTTCTTGTGTGCCTTCTTAGCCTTCTTCTTCTTGGAGACAACTCCTGAGCTGGTGGATGGATCCTCAGGGTCACCTTCTGAAAATAGAAAGGAGTCATTATACAACGGTGTTTAGAATTATGGTGAATCCTAGTAAGGCACGTTGTATATTTACCAGTCCTCGGGCGTTCTGGCATGAAACAAATAAAATTGCTCATTGTAATTAGTGACCCAGGAATCGATCGGAGACCATAATATAAATGGTTTATTACTAACGCCAAAATTTTTACCAGACTTCCAAATGGAGTTGTCATGTTCTCTCGAAAGTCTCATTGACAGTGGCACGGGCAGTGGATCGCTCGATTCCCTACAACATGGTTGAGTTGGGCGGTGCTGGGGTACGTGGCATGTTCGTGAACGGGACCCGTCACCTGGGACTGGTCAGCTCCAGACTGTATTATTTATTGTCTTAAGGTTATTTGCTTTTTTGATCTCTTTGACTGGATTTGGGTGTTACATTGTTCTCGCACAATCGAACCAACAAAACTGTGTAACTGAAGAATTGTATTGTGTAACTGATGTAAAAGAGTAACCTATGGAGTTTCTTGCTCGTTCTTCTCCATAGGAATCTGCACCTTGGAATGAGCAAATGGCTTCACTTTTAAATTTCTATTGCTGACGTCGAAAAGTGCCTTCCTGGTCTAATTGAAATAAATGATTTTGACTCTGACTTTGACGGAGATCTTTTGTTTGGCCTATATTTATGTATGTTTATGAGCGATAATTTTGTGATTGGCTGAACAGGTTTTGATGCGGTTTTCTGAAAAGTGTTTGTAACACTTAGAAGAAAGTTTTACTATATAAATTAACCGACTTCAGAAGACAATGGGGTTGAAGTTGTTTTTTTAAACGTAGTGTACGAAAGAATGTTTAATTGTAGCTAAGCAAATGGTTTTATTGTATGTATGCCCCAATATAGTGCCGATGCTAAATACGGAAAATTTAGAAACGACATTAAGAATGGAATGTATGTATATATAATATATATGTATGTAGCGCGGTACTGACTGTGCAGCACGAGCCCGCCGCCCGCGACGAGTGCGTCGACGGCGCCACTGATGTGGTTCCGCGCCAGGCGCAGCGCGGCGCGGGCCTGCTCCGCCTCGTAGCCCATCGCCTCCAGCTGGACCACGCACACACATTAAACTAACTAACATCGCGGGTTACTCATGCGAATATACTGAGAAAAGCTCTTCTAGTTTCGAGCCACAGAGGGGCTCTTCCTCATGAGCAGCTTCATCACCGCCACCGCGATAAATGCGGGCGCATCTGTGGCTCTTTGATTCGAAACTAGTAGAGGTTTTCTCAGTACATTCACGTGAGTAACCCGCGATTTTTAGTTAACACAAATAATCAATATTAGTCATTATTACCCTAATTCTGTTTAGGACTGAACACAGTCAGGGTTTTGCTTAAGGTTCTTATGTCCAAGATAATCATCAAATAATAATTGCATGGCGATTTTATACTATTCAGTAAATGCTCGATTGATTTCGAACTACACTGGAACCCTTAATGTTCCTTAATTATAATAAAAAAAATAAAATAGGAGTTATGAATGACAGAAGATACGATATTTATAATGAATACCTCTGCGACGAGTTTATTGTCCGGCACGATGTTGGAGTCGTCCGAGCTGATGGTGGACGCGTCGTCCGAGGATCTGTCGCTGTCTACCAACTGGAACAATCATATTAAAATCAGTGTCGAGTCGACATTTGAATGAGTATTTGTCTATGAACAAAATGAAAATAAGTTAATTAACTCGTCGAGTACCGTCATTATAGACACAATTAAAGAACAATAGGTTGCGGTCACCGGTGACCGCTTGGTGTTTGACAGTTTAAAGAGAAGAACAGATAGATACCAGTTCAGGCTGTTCCTGTATGAGCCTGACAGCCTCAGCGACGTGGTTGTTGGAGTTCCTGAGCGCGCAGACTGCCACACTGCGCGGGTATCCCATACCCACCAACGCTTCCACCAACTGCAAGTTTATTTGGGACCCGTCCTCGCATACACCTAGTAGGCGACGCTGTCTGTAAGAGACAATAATAGGTGATTAACTTCACCGTCATCATTAGCCTGTAACCGCTGAGAAAAGAAATATTCTTATGCGGTAAAGGAATGAGCATTAATCACCAGGCTTGCTAAAAGTGACTTGGCGGTAGTTAGATAACGGCGATCAGGATTTTAATTAAAACATATTTATTTATTACGAGGTGTTTACTTGACGAATTATCCTACAAGACTAACATATAATTGAAATATTTGAAATAACATAATGCTAAATATGCACTTTATATTCTACTCGTCATATGAATGCAATTTGATCGGCTTCATCAGCAATCGGTTTAGTGGTTGCACGGGCTTATCGAATGGTTAATTCGATTTCAAACTTATAATTTAACATTTTAAGTTCAAATTTCCATGCGATGTTTAGATAATTACATTAAGTTTAAGCCTCCTGGCTTCCGTGGCCAATACAGTGGACGAATGTATATGTAGACACTATAGATGGACGCATCCGGCCACCGTAAGCTCGGGCCTGCGGATGGCAAGCACGGGTAACTCCCCGCCCGACCAGAACCAGGCCCGAACGTACAGCACGTCGCGTCCCGCGCGCGCCTCGAGGTGCCATCAGACCACCACGGATGGGGTCCAGTAGGGCAGTCGCCGACACGGAGCCGCGGAGAACTTGACGGGTTACCGGGGCTCTGGCGCGACGTGCAGGAGTAGGTACGGGGTGGGTTTTAGTCTTGAACAATCTGACACTCCCTCCCCTCACCCGGGCGAGAGAAAAAAAGACACTGGACGCAAGTGTGTGCGTGTAACCGAGCCTACAAATACTGTGTTTGTTTTATTTGTGTTATCTATGTTTTTATTATACTTCGTGAAAATTATGAATGTGACATGTCATACTAATATATTATTGATCATTGGCTAATTTATTTTATGAACACTGGATTATTATGTAACTAACAATATTGGTTTTCTGTGATCTGAAAATAAATGATTTGATTAATTGATTTAAGCGCCGCTGTCGGCCATAGCCGACAAGTCAACGTAATTTACAGTTGCCTGATAACTTTTAGCTTGAACTTAAGAGTAACAAATAAGTAATAAACCTGTAGGGCCACAAGTACCTACTACTGCTGCACTATGTAAAATGTAAACGTGTCTATATGTAACAACTACGTCGCTGACGCAGTTTGGTATTAGAACAGTCGCCAATACACTAGCAGTCAGTTCGGTTGTCGATTGTTTTATTTTCCACCAACGAACCTAAAGTAGTGCACATAGTAAATTATTAGTAAGAGAACTATATAACCAGCGCCCCTAAATACCTAACAATAATTTCGTAGAAGGGTGCAAATTGAGGATTGTATGTATTTTTGTATGTTGTATCATAAAATCATTTGGGGTTGTACTACCCCTAATATTTAAGGGATGAAAAATATATGTTGGCCGATTCTCATAGATACCGGATAAGCACAAAAAATTTCATCCAAATCAGTCAAGCCGTTTCGAAGGAGTATGGCAACGAAAACTGTGACACGAGAAGTTTATATATTAGATATAAAGCGGAAGTCTGACTTGAATAATTCTTTTTGTGTTGGATATCGCATTTATCGAGGATGGCTATAGGCTACAAAACATCACGCTACGACCAATAGGAGCTGAGCAGAGCGTGTGAAACCGCGCGTGCGTATGTGCACCTGTCGTTCCGATGCGCCTCCCGGGCGCGGTCCCGCTGCGCGCGGCGGTCGGCCAGGTAGTGGTGCGCCGTGTCCACGTGGCCCGCGGCCGCGCGGAGACCCGTGCGGGCGGCCGCGCGGGACCAGCCCAGCTCCATCAGCGTCAGCACCGCGTCCTCGTCCACCTGCACGGGATACACATTACACTGAAGTCCTCCTACATATTACGATAGCTCATTAAACGTTTTCGAGTTTCATATTCCTACTCTAGTGAGACGTAAAATTAATAATATTTAAGGTTTGTTTCACGGCGCTCGTCGCATAGTTTGCCGCGCAATCATGTTCATGTCTATGAACCTCTAAAGTAACTTAAAATTAGTCAAATTACCGCTTCAAACAGTTACGTTAGTTAACATAGTAATATTTTTTTATGTCTCACGAGAAAGGTAATATAAAACACTCAAAAGAATGTAAAGCATGCTTACTCTAAGCGCGTTGAGTTCAGTCTCTGCCTTGGCGAGCAGTGCGCGTGCCTCGGCGCGCTTGTTCTGGTGGTAGCACACGATGCCTTGCAGCAAGTACATGCGCATCAGTAGCACGCGCTCGTTCGCTGAGATATAAAATACAAATAATTTCATTTTTAAGCCACTCAGTATAATCTATTAGATCAGATACTGCCGTATACCTATATTTTCACCATTTCTATTTTTCTCGTGAGTTTACGAAATCCGGCTCAGGGACATTTACTAAACCTAAACCTATTCAGTTGCAATTTGTTACCGGACACCTTTTAAATGCGCGGAAATAATAGCAAACGGCTGTCATGCACGAGGCCCACAGTCCAGCAGTGGATTGTTGATGATGCGAGAGAGTAGACTGACCGGCGCTGCCTTTGAGCGCGATGAGCCTGGCGTGGTCCTCGCCGTAGGAGTCCCGGAAGGCGGCCTCGGCCCGCGCCAGGCGCTGCGCCGCGTCGGCCGCCTGCGGCAGGCTGCGCAGGCACAGGTAGCTCCACGCCACGTCCAGCTGCAGCACGGCCCAGTTGTCCACCGACTGCAGGATCGACGACCGACACTCGCTGTACGACATACACTTCTTATAATACAACTTTCACAGAGAAACTTATTAGAGATGCTATCTTGGGCAGCGTTAATGTGATTTCAGGCGGTTCATTTACCTATGTCTTTCATTCGGCATCTTTCACTCAAAACGATAGGTCATTCATTATTAAATCGATCCAACAATGTTGGATTTTGGTATTAGACATCATTCACTCCCACTCTGAATGAACAAATATAATCTACAAACAGAGTGAAGCTACTCAGATTTAATTAAATAATCACAAATGAAACTGATTCTAAAACGCACGACATCAGTTGATGACATATTAAAAAAAAGATAAGATGAATGTCCTTTTATTTGTCATTCCACTAAAGTCTTCTGAACATGGAATGAAAGATAAATGAAACATTCACTGCGGTGAATATTCATTCGAGTGAATCGTCTGATATTACCATGAAGCACATTGTCGGGTTTATTCTTTATCCTTTACTATTATAAATGGGAAAGTGAGTTTGTTTGTTTGTTTGTTCGTTCCGCTTTCACGCCGTAACTTCTAAACTGATTGCTTTGTAATTTTGCAGACGTAAAGTACGGATTAAATAATAGGGTACTTTTTATCCCGAAAAATTGATATTCTCAAAGGAAAAAAAAAATATTGGTATATGTAGATGGCGCTGTGTATATTGGTATATGTCACATAGGCTACTTTTTATCCTTTTGTGACGCGAGCGAAGCCGCGGGCAAAAGCTAGTAGGATATAAGAAGAGTTCAACTTTTTAAGACATTTCTTTTTCTTCACAAGCGAAAGTTTTTTAACGAGTGCTACTTATAAGTGGCAATTAAAAATAGAGTATAGTGGCGTGTTAATATAAAAGCCTGTGTCAAGCAGAGAACAAACAAACAAATGTGAACGTATGTTGGAAACATGCCGATGATGAAGATAGGGAACTAACGTAGCAGTATTTAGTTTGTGTGTAGTTCAAGAGTCGGTATAGAGGTAACCTGAGTTGTCGGTCAGCCTCTAGGAACAGTACGAGCGCGAGTGAGTAGTCGTGGTGTCGCGCCGCCGTGCGGCCGCGCTCGTGCAGCGCCAGCCCCACCACCAGCGCGCGCCGCTCCGCCGGGGGCAGCTCCACCGTCGCGCCCGACTGGTCCTCCAGCTGGGACATTACGGCATAGTGCCTTTATTAGCCAAATGCCACTTTAGCGCTTGTTTACAGAGAGAGTAGAAAACTAAATGTATGGGGATGACACTGACAAGTGCCAAAATTTACGTCTTTAGGGAACAGAGAGTATGGTTCCCTAAGATCGGAAAAGGAGGATCCTCCGACCAGGGAGGTGATCGTGCCTGGCGGGTTTCCTGCCCAACAGTTGTTCGTTGGAATTTTTTTCTATCCGTGTTAATTTGCATGTAAACTTTGCATGTGCGATGTAGGATTTTATGACGTCATCCGTAGACATGTGATATGTGTCGTCACACGTCAATTCCATAATTATAATTTGGTTTTCTATTCTACAAGTAGACAAGCGCTAAGTGGCATTTCGCCCATAACCTGCAGCTGTACTGCAGGTTATGGACAAGGCGCCATAGTTACCGCGACCTGACACTTGTGGGAGAAGACATTTAATAGTTTTTTTTTTATAAATACTTTATTGTAAACCACACAAACACAAGGCCAAAATAAATATAGTGTCATGACCCCTTTTTCTAACCTTTCCATCTAAAAACAAACTACTTGAGGTTAGTGTAACAACTTTGTCTTTTTTCTCCTATTCTCTATCTGACATGATCAAGTCAACTACTTTCTCACAAAACCTTTCCACTTCTTGTCAGAAATAATATTATTATATTACAATAAAACCAAATCAGTATCTATAAGTAAAAACTAAATATTTTTGAGCCTAGATTGTTAGTACAGTTGTATTAAACAAAAGTATGTTAAACATACAAAAACAAGTGAACATGTGTTTATTCAGCTGTGTTTACCCAAGTCACAGAAAAAAAAATTTACTGTTGGACTGGAAGAAATACCTTTCAGATTATTTACTTCACGTTTAAGTAAACTGAATATGATAACTGACCTTTATATACTCCTCATCATCAGCCAGTTCGTCCACATACTCGGACAGCAGCGTGGCATCATCCCGGACAGTCTTCATCTCCATATACATGTTCTCCTCTTTCTTCACTTCTTCAGGAGTTTCTATAAAGTGTAACACATTGCAGACCATTGATTAATGTTGTATTATATACCATCAGTTAACTTAGGGCCAATTTTTGCAACGCCAAATAAATTTATCAGAAGAAATAACTTTGAATAAATAAATATTCAAAGTTATAAGTTATTATTGGCTTCCATACTAAGGCCTGTCAAATATCGATTTTATTCTATAGTTAAGAATTGCCTGTTAATTGAAAAACCTGCCCTTTTAATAATTTAAAACATGATTTAAATTTCATGTTTTTATTAACTTTACAATAATGTGATTCAATAAATAAATCTAACCACAAGGAATAAGCAAATAAACAGAGATCAGATATATTATATAGAGATTAGTAGGTATTTGTGTTAGTTATTAATCCCAAATAATAGCCGAGTCAGAGGGCTTGAGGGTGATGAGTTTGTTTTAGATCTAACAAGATCGAAAAGTCACTGCATTCAGCACTCTGATTGGCCGGGTACAATGAACTAACCAATCAGATTGCTGAACTTCAATTTCAAAGAGCTAGCAATGAAACTTAAACACTTTCGCAAAGGGCCATGGTGGAATTGATGTTTAGCAGTAGCAATTGCAAATCTTAAAAAGGATATACAAACTAACTGCTAAAAGAAAAATATGATACAGGCATGTATCAGTTGTTTCAACTGCCGGCCTGAATTAAATAAAGATTAACTCATTGAGTACCGTCATTATAGACACAATTAGAGAACAATAGGTTGTGGTCACTGGTGACCGCTTGGTGTTTGACAGTTTAATTTGAAATATATGGAAATAATAATAAATATTTGTAAGTACACACCTGCCATCACAAGAGCCATCAAAGTAGCTCCATTCTTCAACCCTTGCTGTTCCATACTAGGAGTAGGTTTTATCACCTTCCCATTGTATATTAACTTTACTCTGAAAGTGATAACAAAAATATATCTAAAGTACAATTTTCACAAAAAAATTTAAACTATTTCTTTATTATATTACAAATAGCAAAATTCAAGTAACTGGAGAACTTAATTTATCAGAAAAAAAATTGAAAATTATAAGAAACTGATGTTTTTGTAACAATTTGATAACATAAAGAGATCAACTAATAAAACAAGATACCTATTCTCCGTAACGCCAATCTCGGCAGCGATGGCGGCTATCAGTTCAGATCCGAGACCATCAAGCTTCTTCTGCAACTTCATCATCTTGGGTTTCTCACCAGGTATGGTGGCTTTGACCCTAAAGGTCGCAAACCCTGTCTCTTTAAACTCTTCATTGTCTTTGGATCGTTCAAGTGAGTGTAATTGCAGTTCCCGTAGAGCTTGCTGTACCACTTCAGTCTCTAAGGAGAGATCTTTCGCGTATTTCTCAGCAATATTCTGTAAGAAATGTATTGAAAGTATTTTAGTCACAAGGGATTATTGTTAATGGATTTGAGTTTGATTTCTATATCTGGCTAAAGTTGAGCCTGGAAAATAATGTAGTCTAATTTATTTTTTTAATCTTTGACTGCGCGGGTGGTAAGTTAGGTAGTTATATTTATAATCTTGTTCCGCTCTCTCAACAAATGTATACTATAAATATAATATCTACAGAAGCTTTCGAACAACGTACTTAATTAAAATGATAGCTAGATTAATTTTACTAAGAATTAAATAACTTAAATGGTTTTCTAAGTTCCCTTACCAAACAAGACCGACACTCTGTGATAATAATTACCTTAAAATCTTGCGTGATTTCATTATCTTGGGCAATGAATGGAGGTTCCCATAATTTCACCTTCTCCTGATTCAGTTTAGCGCGTAATTTTATCAACAAATCTTCATGTTGTAAATTATTATCCATTTTTATTAGAGACACAATGAATCGTCAAAATAAATAGCACGATGAGTCGCAAAATAACAACAAACAATACAATTTTCCAGGAAATTATTCTGTTTTTGACAGTTACCTGACGTTGACACTTGACACTATGACAGTACCGATTATGTTTGTGAAGTTTGTTCTTGGTAAACTTATGTTGATTTATGTAACTCACATGAAATTAGATTTTATTAATAACAGTTTTCCAGTTAATAAAAAAAATAATCACTTGAATAATATGTTTATCTATACAATAACGGTATAGTAATTAGATTAGGTACCTGCATAATATGTAAAACTTAATATTGGGATAGCCATTACATTCTAAGCAGTTTGTAAAAGGTACCATCGTCGATGGAATTCGATTATTCGAAGTGAGTGTGACTTTTGTCACAAAAACTCGGTGTACCTCTTCAGAAAAATAATGCATAACCTCTTGTCTGTTGAAGAAGAAAAGAATGTGTCTTGACCAGACATTTATTATTGCCTTATTATTTAATTAATGCCTACTTTGTAGGTGCTTCAGTATCATTATAGTCAGAATTTTAATTAGATTCCAGATTTGACAATAGCTACTGTCATTTTGTGAAATAATGATACCACATATAATAGTGTAGTGATGGACACAAAAATCGATTAACAATCGTGTGTGTGTTTTATAATAAATGTTACAGAAAGTGACAGCGATAGCGATAGCGATGACGGCGACAATTTATAAAATAACTTATTACCATAATACATCTATCTGTTTTATTTGTCATGTTCCTTCATGATAACATTTTTTTATTTATTTCACACACAAATTATAAAAGAAAAGTCTCAGATCGTTAAGTAATCGTCAAAACTAAATTATCGGTCAGAAATATTTAATTTCCTGATATCCTTAGTTTACGAGAGTAAAATTATAAACGAGAAGAATCGATTCAGAAATATTGCATTTCCATATCGAATAATTTCGCAACGTCACTATTTAGTACTTGTCATAACGTTGCAACACTGAAATTGTCAAATCTGGAATCGAATTATAATTCCGAGTATAGATCTCCTATCAACATTTTTCCTTTTATTTTAATTATAAACATTAATTTGCAATCAGCGCCAGGGCAATGAGAAAATCTTCTGTGCGATCTGTCATGCGGAGTGACTTCCGATCGGAAGCTCTACTTATCTGTTGCTTAGAGCAATAGTGCCTGTCTTAAAAAAAAACAGAATTTAAATAAATATTAAAGGGTCTGACTGCATATCAATTCAAATTCAAACAAGACGATTTATGAATTTGAATTGTACCTACATCCAAAGTAGGGACAGATATTTAATTACTTCCTCCATAAAAAAGTAATTTGCTACCAGAATAGCCCACACTCAATAAAGATCGTTAATTAAAAATAAATTACATAAACAATTTCTTATTACCATACGGAGTTCCAATGGAATCATGTTTCTAAACAAGATCTGTGTAGCAAGTAAGTTTTAGATCCTAGTATCATTTTGGGGACCTATTCCAAGGTAATGGGGTAGACTAGACTAAGCTACCTAGACCTAGAAAAATAATCTCATTACCTATAATGACGTTCGATTTCGTCGCAAAATTGGGGACATAGAGAGGTCAATAAAGATCTAAGCAAGATAGTAGACGCTACGCTGCGTAGACCTTTATAAAATGTCAGTTATTTGGTATTTGTTTCTAAAAATAAAATAATAAGTAATCCGCCAGGACGTCAAGATATCATACCAATCTGTTTCATCAATAATTCGACCACTTTTAAGTGCAAACCATCCCATTTGTTGGAATGGATGGTATCGACCTACAATAACCTTATTTTTTTGGGGGAAATCATCTAATGATTTCTGCCGCCTTACGTGAAGCGAAAGGGAGTGTCAAATTCTTACTGACTAAAAACTACTCCGTTACTACTTCTACTTTTCAAGCCGCAGCCCCGTCAACCAGTTAGGCCCTCCGCGGTTCTGTATCAGCATTTCAGCATCAGCCCTGCTGGGCCCTATCTGTGGTGGTCTGATGGCTTTTTGTGGTGCGCGCGGAAAGTCACCGCCGTACGCACGAGCTGGTTCTGGTTGGGCGGTGAGCTCCCCTGCCTACTAACTAGTTAACTTTGTTTTTTACGGGAAATAAGAGGCCTCATGGTTTTAAATTTCATTATGTAGGTAGGTACACCTTGTCATAAGAAGATACCTACTTCTTTTCTACAGAGGTGTTAAATTATATTTGAATTCGTCCATTCGTCTATTTGAGTACAATCCCGAAGTAATCTTATTTAGGGAAATTGTCTGTGAGCAAAGGAATGGTGTCGTCTTTGGTTTACTTACTTTAGTATAATTGAAATGACGTGGGTTTCTTTGTAAACTACTCCACAAGAAATATAAAAATGTGGATTTTTTTCTGAATATTAAATAGAAAACCTTTCCTGTTTGCATAAGTATTTGACTTTATATTCTTATTTAAATAATTAATTGCTCAATGATCCCAACGTAGGTTCTAAAGTTATCTATTATTGAATAAAAACATTGAGACGAATTTTTACTTACTTTCTTTTTCGAAGAATAAAATAAAGAATAAAAATCAGAATAGGTACTAATTTCTTCAGTAGATACAGACATCAGTCCATCAAGCTACCCAATCTGACATTTATTATGTGTACCTTCTATTTTTGTGGTCGTAAAATCATTTAATGACTTCTCCCGCGTAGAGTGAGGCGAGAGGGAGTGTCATACTCTTACTGATCTACAACACACCCTCGTCACCCTAAAAACACCCTCGTTCCTACTCCTGCTCTTCAAGCTGGAGCTCCGTATCGGCATCAGCTCTACTAGGCCCCTGTGTCTGTGATGGTCTGATGACTCTTAGAAAGGCGCGCGGAACTCGACGCGCCACATCGTACGCACAGGTCTTTCTTATTTTCAACCTTTATATTAAAGCACGTAGTTGTAATTTTAAAACAGAAGAAGATTCTCTCATCTCATTAAACTTAACTATTTTCGCGTACATAATTAACAAAACAATTATAAACCCTGGAACACACAGAGTGCTGAAAACTTTCATTAATTACCTTAAAAACTTTGTATTACCTAATTAGCTACCGTAATTAGTTTTTAAGCCTAAAAACCGAGTTAATATGATAATGAAGAGTCATCCAGAGTAGGGTATCCACCTGATGCTGAAACTTGGTTAATATTATGTTACTAGAGTAACATGTTCACGGTGATAAATTATAGGACTAGGTAGTCAGAGGTAGGTCAGAGTTGTGTTGATTACTTTCTTTCAAGATTGTATAAATATATCTGATTCCTCAAACGTAAATCTTCGTAATAACGATAACCTTTACATACTTGTTCTCAATTGAGGTGTTTGATGCCTTTATTAAAATCTGTGAAGAGTGTTTGCCCACAGTCTTGTGCACTATGCCCCCTGAGTAGTTTGCTAGTCTCTATTGAGACGGACCTTGTTATCCATAAATCTAAAGAGAATGTTCTTCTAAGTTTTCCATTTACTTCCCAGCTATTCTTCTATTCATCCACGCTGCAAATTCCTACATACTTTTAACTGCCAATCTGGATGATGTGCACGCACTGGCGAAGCAGATCGCAGCGTCTCCAGTGGCTCACCAGCTTGATAAGATATTCCGTAGAGCTTCCAATGTCTTCAACCAGCATTACAGTCAAGAAAATAGAGGTTTGATACAAAAGTCATACGTGGAAAGTGATCAAATCGATGGAAATTCAAAACAGAGGTCGCAGATGAGGAATGATCCCATGGATAAAGATTCAAGACAGCAGCCGCAGATGAAAAATGATCCCACGGATGAATATTCAAGACAAAAGTCATACATGAAAAGTGATCCTTCGAATGGAGACTTGAAACAGAAGTCACAGAAGAGGAGTAATCCCACGGGCGGAGATTCAAGAGAGCGACCGCAGATGAGAAGTGATCCAACTTTAGATGATGAACCTGACTATTTAAACAAAGAAAAGGACTTTAGATACGCAGATTCTGATGTCGATACTGCATTAGGTTCTAAGAAAGATGGTATGTGAATTAGCTTTAGTCTACACACTGAATCTGTTTAACAACTGCATGAGGGTGCCAATGTGACTTTCCGGGCTATACACCGTGATATTTTAATGGTTGTTTTCCCACAGTAAAATGATTCTATTTTAGTAGTACAATAGATTGAGAAAGTTATTTTTAATTTAAATAAAAAAATAGCAGTTTTACGATAGTGATACACGAAACTTGAAAGAAGCCGCGAACCAATAGTACCGCCGCGACCGGCCACCGGCCGCTGTCATTGTCGCTCGCGCTTATCAAAAGGCTGATAACTCAGTATTTACTAACAAGTGATTTCCATTTTCCCTTCATACTTT